ATCTCATTATTTCCACTGTGAAATTTTGGTGATTTCACCCTAAAGGATCCCACACCAACACTTCCATCAGTTAGCAGTAGGGTACTTGTTTTGGTCAATTAATGAACTCAGGATTCTGTAAAAAAACAGAACCCAAGATGTATTTTTCATGTTGTAAACTATCTTTATGTGAAACACAAGTGTACTCTGTCTAATTCATCCCTGGGGTTTCTAGAGAGGCTGCAATAAAAGACATTCTGTAGATCAGAATTGTTAATTTCTTCAGATATTACTCCTTTTTTCATAAAGCATAAACAATTTAGATGGTTAAAACCATTGCTTTCAAACAGGGAGTCACAGGCAGTGTCTTATTTACTAGCAAAATAACAATTAAAAAATAAGTTAATGCTTCTTGGATTTCTAAATTATGCTAGAGAAGCCAATGCAGATATATAATGCAGCTGTATTAGTTGTAGTTCCTATGTTAATAGTTTTCAGTGGTGCTTTGATATTACAATTTTACACACGCTAAAGCAAAGTTTCTAAAACTAAAAGCAAGGTATGCAGGAGTCTCTCTAATTCTTTACTGAGGATTAGGAACCTCTTGTTTATCAGACCAATCTTTCCTGATCCTTGTTAATGCTGGAAACATTCTGGATTTTTAAAAGATCCCCAGAGGTAGGCACATTATGTGCTTCTCCAGAGGACTGCTGACTTTTTCGTATTTTCATAACCTTAATTTCTGTTATGGCTCTCATTCAGATAACACCCCCAAATTCTTAGTATTGGAAAAGCAGATCCCATAATGCTTTTATAAAGTTTACAGCTATTGTATTTTAGTGGGGATATGACAAACACTATTATTCAGGTTGTGATTTATACCTGGTAAATCCCTAAGGCATAAGATAAATGCATTCAGCCAATGCACAGATTTGAAATGGTTTGAAATAGAATTGTTTACTATTTCTAATCCAATACCAATATCTACAGTATTTTTCTCAGTCCTCTTAACATCCTACTAGCTCTTCAGTTCATTTAAACAGGGACTTCCCACCTCTCAGTGCTGTGAAAGAGATACTCTTTGTCTCTAGGCATAGGCATCCTTTGGGACATTACTGTTTATTCCTGTTAATTTATCATTGAAAGGCAGAGGGTTGTTGTTACAAAGAAGAGGAAAATATTCTAGATTTCAAAGATGTCAACAGAATTTTCCTCTTCAGTTAGAAGACTCAGTAAAGCTGATGGGGTATAGACAGGTGAGTTCTATTTAATTTAACGTGGCCTACCTCGTGCTCTAAACTTACCAGAAAGAAATTTCAGCCCAGTTTTGTACTATGATTATATTTAACATACTCCTTTAATACACAGCCTTAATTACTCCCTACACAGCCTTAATGCTGGAAGCACTGAGACTCAGAATGCTGATTCTAAGCTACTTCAGGGTTCTCAGATTGTACTCTTGTGACTGGTGACTCAGAAATCTTCTCAGTGATGCTAAAGAATAACTTTTTTGAATTCCTGTTTTTCAATGAGAGCAGTAATGAGCAGGAGATACTAAGGCAGGTGTGCTGGGGAAGAACCTTCTGTGGTCATCTTCTCACTCAGAAAGGAAACCTTATACAAGCACTGCGGTTTTACTCTGTATCATGTCTGCTAGCACTCACTAGTTTAATAAACGCTTTGTTACCTCTGAAATGGCGTTAGTGTCTTGCAGTGCTAGCAAGAGAGCTGCTAGGCCTGGAACTTGTGTCAGGATCATTTGGGAACTCACAGTCAGTGAGCCCCGCCTCCGGGGATTTCACAGCCACTGTGTACTGGATGTGTTGGTGCACACCAAGATGCTGGGCAGCATTTTCTCTTCCAATTGTGTCTGGCTCTGCTTTTCTTTCCCCTGTGTCCCCCTTCCCAAGTAGAAATGCTCATACTAAGCATTTCAAATCATTGTGTGAACATCACAAAGAGACATCTGAGGTGTCAAGTATCTCTCAAACAACTTTCCACTGACTTTGTCTCCTCACTTTTCCCTTTTCCCATCCTAGGCCTTTCACCCTTTGGTTCCCTTGAGAAAACCACATCAAATTTCCACCTGGAAATTTCAGTCTCAATGTTAGGTAGTCTCTTGTTGGTGGCCTTTCCTCTCCACCTTTTCTCTTCACCACATTGAGACTTCTGAAAAGGTCAAACAATTCATCTTTGTTTCCATATTTATACTGAGAAGGTCCCTTTTTAGTAGCACAATAACATTTCAGATAGGACAGCCTGACAAAAACAGTAGATAAGAAAGTTCCTGGTACAGAAACCTGGCCTGGTAAAATAAAACATTTCTTTTTTAAAATGAAAACTTCCTGAGTTTTCACACAAAGTAAGGAATAAAGTGAAGGGCTAGTGAAAGCTGTCCTGTCTAGTTGAATGTATTAGTTGGATATTTTAGAAGACAAGACACAAAAGTGAAACCTGAATGCTGATAAAGTGATCAAGAGAATTGAAATAAGTTTGCAAGGAAGTCCTGAAAAAAAAGAAATTAAAGGAAACTAAAAATGGAAATTAAGATGATGGGTTTAAAAATGGCCATTAAGTGTTTGAAATCAAGTACAAGAAATAGTAATGGATACCTGTCTGGGAAAGAAAATAGAACATGTACCAGCATGAGAAAGGTGGACAGAATGCTCTAGCCATAGTTGTTACAGAAGGATGGGAAGTTAAATTAAAGCAAGCAATGGCTTCTCTGGGCAGAATGCTGACTATTCTGTGCAAGAAAAGTGTTTGCTTATGAAATGTTGTGATGAAACGCTTATGGTGTGGCACTACCCCAAGGAAGATGGGTATCAGCATGAATTAAGCTACACAATGGCTCTGGAGGGTGGAGTTCAAACTTCAGTTCTTTGCTACTTTTATTTACATTTACATTCAGTTTTCACCTGATCTAGAGAGAATGAAATTACTTTAAGGTCAAGTGGTCCAGATGTGGGCTTTGTTCAAAAGCATCACAGATCATCTGGCAAAGCAACTGTACAATAAATTGATGCTTGCTGCAGAGAATGTCAGCTTATAAGTCTATCACCTCCAATTCATGACTCTTCTTCTGAAGCTGTATCTCCCAAATTTTGATTTTATACTGATTTCCACAGCAACCCAGCATTCAGAGGTGTACATGATGACTGTGTGAGCCGTTTGCGTATCCCAGTTCTATGCACACAGGCTATGTGGTTTATCTTAATGAAAAACTTTTGGAGGAGTTTGGAAAGCTGTCTTTGAAAAACTTGGTTTTTGTAAGCTATTTCAAAAGGCCAGTGGGAAGTGTGGCTAAACCAATCTGGATATGAATGATTTATAGTCCTGTGAGACTGCATTAAGCTACTTCCATGGGAGCAGTTCACTAGTGGGTTTCCTATTGTCTGGGACTTCGTAAGGCACCAAGTGTTCCCAACCACTGTTGTCTAACCAACCCCCCCCATAACCCTTCTATGCCTATAACCTACAACCCAAACACCTGCACTCCTTGTCAGGGGAGGTACTGCTGGGGATGGAGTCAGCAGTCCAAGCTTTGCCCCCTCAGGGAGCTCAAGAGAGAGTCCTTTGCCAGACCAATAGTGCAGGTTTCCTCTACCACATCTTGCTGCAGGAGCAATATGGAGCTGATCCTTGGGAATTTTCTTCTCTTCATGTTCCTCCAGGGGACATAAATATAAAGTTGGGTTTGGTGGTTTAGTTTTTTGTGGTGTTTTTACACTGAAAGTGCCAACTCCTCCATGCAGCGATGCACAGAGCCACAGCCTCAAAGATAACTTTTTTTTTTTACTTTCCTTTGCTTTTCTGCACAAGGAGAAAGCTAAATTTCAGTAGCTTTCAAGAGTGTCTGACTATTTTCTGACTATTTATTTGAATCCTCACAGCAACTGACCTTCAAACATAGCACAGGTGGTAAAAGCTGTAATAATACCACTCCGAGGTGTTTCTTTGCATTTGCGTTAGTAAAGTGGTTCCTAATAAGTTAGTAACATAAGAAACTATTCAAGGCCATCAAAACCTCAGAAATACCTACCACAGAATAGCCTCTAGATTAGAACCATGTTTTCCAGCTGTCAAGTTCTCCCATGCACTATCAAAGGTCATTAAAACCTCTGTCCCACTTGTCCTTTTATCCCTGCCTGTGGAGATCCATTTGAAAATACCTTGATGACTCCTACCCACAAAACTTCCTTATCTAACCATATATGAATCACTTTGAAAGGAGCTGCATTTCTCTTAGCAACCAAAGAATCAGTCTTAGCAACAAGACAGCCAGAGAATTTTGTGTTCACATAGTTACTTGTGGACAGTACATTCTGCTCTCTGCTTTTCCCTGGCATTGCTGCTGCAGCGGGGACTTTCTGAACTGTAATTAATGGCAGAGACAGATCAGACACTTGTTCATTGGAAAGACAGCCATTGCAGGGCAAATGATCTTTCTACCTTAGGTGTTCTTTCCTTCAGGAGATAGTGTAAGAGACTGACTGCTGAAAAGCTCAAAAATGAAATTTGCCCTATGACAGAATTACTACAAAGAAACGTGTGAGGAAGCTGGCAGTTTCCAAAATCTTGACTCCCCCCACAGAAACCATAATGGAGAATCGAACTATGAGCTCTAAAGGCTCACATCTCAGCCTCTCTCAGCATCTGCTCAAGAGCAGTTAGAAAGGCCGGCTATAAGGTGACTTTTATACATATTTTTCCCCCTATATTTTCTTAGCAAGAATAATTCTGGAAGAATATTATAATGAGAGAAACTGAGAACATCAGAGCAATTGCCATTTTGGTTATTGCCTGGGCTGTTGTCTTTCCAGGACTGTTGGGGAAGCAATGTTAAGATGGCATTTATGAACAAAGCAGTGTTGTAGTAGTTTCCGTCTCTCAGTCTTACATCTGTGTAAGGAAATGAGTTACCATGTGTATTTTGATCCTATTAAGAAATTGGAAGTGCAAGTAGAAATAGTAAATGCACTCACAGCCCACCTGCGATCCTCCTCTGTCTTCTCCCATAGGCGCTGTTGGCATACTGCATGCCGGTTTGATTCCCTCACTTGTATCCAAACTGAAGAATGAGTTGGAGGAAATCCAGGAGCTAATCCTTGGTACACTCTCCAACTGTCTGCACGTGGAGGCTTCTGAAGCTCTAGCAGCTGATGTCGTCACTGTCCTGAAGGAAAAGCTCACACACTCATCAGTGGCCACCAGAAGCAAAGCAGCTTGGGCCCTCTTAGAAATCAGGTAAAGAAACCTGTCTATAATACATAAGTCCAAGAAAATACTCATTTCATGAGTGAGTCAAGGTCATTAGTTTACAGTTGTGTTCCACTACACATTGAAGCTGTCACGTATCCCATGTAAAGCAATATCGGCCTCAACACACACATACATAGAAGACTTCTAAAATTCCTAACTGCTGTAAAATGCTCAAGAAAACAAACGCAGATCAGTAAATGTCATTCGTTATCCTTCTGTCTGTCTTTGGTGTTGGCAGTGAAAGCAGGATTTTTTCCTGATTCTCTCAGCACTGCTGAGAAAAAAATTCTTGCATGAGAAATGTGAAAACAAGATTCTGACCAGTAGTAGGGAGTAGGAAGAAGTATGAAATAGGGAAAAGCCCCCTGATTTTTTTGAACAACTGCTCTTTCTCAAAAAACTAAAGGTCCTGGGAAGCTTTCAGTGTGATTGAGGACAGAAATAGTTTTCTGACACAGGCTGCTACAAACATCAGTGATGGATCAGAAAAAGCAGTCTTTATGTTCCACTTGTGTATCGAACACTAGATGGAAGGAACAATTTCAGTGCACTGTCTTGCAATCACAACATATAATAAAAGTACTCAACAGATGTCTGGTTTAAGAAGGTCTGCAGGTGGTGTAGTTTACTTATCAACTGGCACAAAACACTTCCTAATGTCCTATAACACGGCAAGGCCTTATAGGAAAAGCAAGAGAGTATCGATAACATGAGTAATAGAAAGAAAGCAGAAATGCAACCTGAGGATGGACATCAGGTAGGCTACAGGTCCCCACAGGAGCTGGGCCATGTTAGATATTCTCCTCATTAGGTTGGAAAGAAAGATAGAAAATTTACCTGGGAGAAGAATTAACTGCAGACCCCAGACTTAGCAGGTTTTAAAATCTGTGTAGGGTTCAACAGCCAGGTTTCTAATTGAATTGTGAGAACACATTTAACCCTAATCCTGGTACATGCTACTGCCCAGCTATCTCCAGTGTATGGCAGACAGTAAGAAAAATAATCCAAACATCACCTAAAAATAGCCTAAACAATTGGTAAGCCCACACACATTGGTTAACATCATATCATCAGTCTTGTACGGGCAAGTAGATTTCACAGACACCAGGCACAACAGCCATCCCCTTTCTTTTCTTTGTGGAAGGCAGTGGTGCTTGCCATCTGTCCAACAATCAGAAAGCTGTGAGTCCAAAGAGAACAGAGGAGGACTGTGTCAGCATCGCTGTCATCAAACAAAGGAGGGCTGCAGGGATCCAGGGCATGGGGAGAAGCTGTGGGTAGCTGTGTGGTTTGCAGGCACAGCTCAAGAAAGCAACTTAACCATCTTTCCTGCACAGTACTCATCCAGAGGGGAAAAATGAGGTGTGTGAAGAAGTTATTCCTGTGCTGGTGAGCCTGCTTGAAGATACAGATCCTGAAGTCCAAGCCAGTGCAGCAGGAGCACTGATGTTTGCTACTATCAAACCTCAGGGTGAGAGACAGAGGGAGTTCTCTTGGGATACTTTCTGGAAACCCAATTCTAAGCCAATTTAGCAACAAAACTTTTGCCCCTCCACCCCCCAGGTCCTCAGTTTCTAATGGTGTTAGAGCTCTTCAAGAAACTCTAAGATTAGATCATTTCTTTTTGTGTGTTGTTGTATCTATTGTTGCTCCCCCACAGAGCCTAAAAGCCACAGCAGATCTCACATTTCATTCACCTGAACTAGGTCAAGAAGTTATTTACCTACCCACCCTGTACCATTTCCCTCCAGAGGGGGAATGCCTTCCATTCAAGTCCAGACCACACAGACATCCACACACCCGATGCTACTCAAATCACCAGTCCTCAGCAGAGGAGCACTACTTTCTGGAAACTCTTTTTGTAGTTACAGGCAGTTTCTCTCTCACAGCTGGGAGAGGAATGAATATTAACAAGGTTTGTAGTTCTCCCAAGTCACTTACATGACACTGAAAATTTTCAGTGGCATGAATGAGTAATTAGACATAAATGACACTTAATAACAGCAGTTGTGTTCCAGACCTCCTCTGCAAGCATCCCCCCTGCTTCTGAAGACAACACAGGAGTGGATCTCACTGTTTGAAGTGTCTTTAAAAATAAAAGAATGGAGAATGTTCCTAAGGGCATCTAACCCAACCCCAAATACCTCATATATTCTTAGATAATTAATTGCAAATGAAATAATAATGTGCAGGGCAGATAAAGTTACCTAAGATCTTTTACCTTAAAAATAAACAGCTGGCAGCTAGCCTTGGTCTTCAAAAGAAAAGCATGTCCGACCTCTTTGCACTGCACTCTCTGGGGTGTTCAGAGCTGTGGCTGGGCAGGGAGTAGAAAGTAACAACTCAAAAGCATGTTGGTTATAGGTAATAACACATTTTAAAATCAGTTTATTTCTCTACAGGGCGATTCTCAGCCCTAGGGGCTGGAGCCATCCCACCTTTGCTGAAGCTGGCTGCTGAGAAAAGCAGCAAAGCCCAGCTGAGTGCCATCAAAGCCCTCACCATGCTGGCTGAGCTACCAAACGGCCGCAAGACACTCCTCAACCATTTAGATACATTTCAGCAGTGTCTGAAGCATCCCAGCGAGGCAGTGAGAAGAGCTGCCACAACTGCCATCAATGTCATCCAATGGAAACCTTACTGAAGATGTGAGGTTTCCTAGAGATCTGTTGCCCTCTGTTGTTGTCTGGCTGTAAAAGTTGCATGATTATATAAGCCCTTCTTTCAAAAATCTCAGTTTCTCTGAATCGGTTCCTCTTGAAAAGTCATTTGTTAACAGTTCATGTCTATATTGCAGGTCACAAGCAGAACAATGATGGGGGGGAAGGAGGGAGGAAGTCTAGAATTCTCCACTAGGAGTTATTTTCTGAATTACCAAGATTTTCCTGTGATACAAGAAACCATTCCTTTTCTGGTTTCTTCATCATGTTCTTGCCTTTCTTTTCCTTTCTTCTTGTGAAACCTCAGCCTATCAAATAATAACTAATCAATAACTAATCCTATTAGAAAGAGAAGTTCATAATGAAGTTCTCCAGCAGGCTTGTCTGTGCTAAGAAATTGACCCAACGGCAGGAATTTACAGTTTTGCTGCAAAATTTGTTGAACATAGGATTGGAACCATTTAGAGCATCATTACAGGAAAACCAATGGCAATGTCATAGAAGGGCTTCCCCAAGAGAATTATGAGACTTTCCCAGCCTGAAATACAACCCAACACTTCCCAGCACCTTTCTAATAAATGAAGCTGCTGACATGACTTGCCAGCAGTGAATCCAGTGGAGATGGACCCCACTGCCCTGGGCTAAAATCCCCTCAGCCTCACCCTGTCCCTGTGATGAGATTTATTCATATAACATTCTGACACCCCTAGCTAATGACTTCTTAAGGAGGGTTTTAGTAGCAGCCCTCACTTTACTTTGCAGCCCCCCTCTGAGCCCCTTCCTCAGCCTTAGCTCCAGTGATTGCTTTTGTGTTTTCAACCTGGTGAGGATCTCAACATGCAAGTTTTCTCCTTCTGTGGGCTTGAATCCAGGCTCAGGGCTGCCTCATGCAGTTGTCCAAGCTTAGGGTAAAAGGAAAATAAGTCAGAAAAACTTTACTAGTGTAAAGCTTGGTAAAGCTTTGTTGGGGACAGGCGCCACTGCCTCTAACAGAAGAGGGGTCTATCTGAAATTGGGTGTAGTATGGAACAGAAGTGCCTCTGTGTTTGTGCTGGTACTTGGTATTTCATAGTTTTGTACAGCTGTAATCTATCCTTTGAGTACAAAAATTAACAAGTACAATGGAAATGGAAGTGTTGTGCCAGAACTGAAGTTTTGCTATTGTGGCTCACTTTTGAGGGAGGAGGACGGGGTGAGAGGAAAGCTGATCCTAATGTTATGGTCTATTCCAACAGGAGTTGGACAAGGCGATCTCCAGAGGTCTCTTCCAACCTCTCATATTCTATGATTAACAGCTGTCTAAACAGAGATGAGATAAACAGGGCAGAGAACTGAAAATGTCAATCCCCTATTTTGGAAAAATGTGTTTACTTTTTATTTTCTTTAGAAGAACTTAACAGTTTTTTAAAAAACCCTTCTACCTCATAGAATTGAGAATAACAGAAAATTCAAGCTGTTTGTATAAGCCAGCCTATCCAACAAGACATAAATTGCCTGAAGGAAATGAGGTAGTTCCTGTATTTAGAGCTGATGGGCAGTGGAAGTGGTGGGAAGTTCAGTAGCCTTTTACTGGCTGTGTAGTCAAGGCAAGTCACTACAGATATGCTGCAAATTTCTCTGCCTGTAGTTTTAAGTGTGTAATTGAAGAGGCATCAGCAAAAGGCCTGGGCAAAGAAATAAAGGAGGCCAGCAGGACAAATCCTGGCCGTTTCCAGCCATCAAAAGAGGTGCGATAATGTGGCTGACTCAGCTTTGAAGGAAGTCCTATTTGTTTTCACTCATGCCTTGCTCTCGTGTGGTTATTTTTATATCTAGAAATAACCAGTTGTAGTTACAATGAAGCTGCATCATCTGTATAAAGGGGTTGTATGCCAGGGCTACTTTTCCACTGCAGGAAAACACTGTCACACCACAAACTACACTACCCTTATACAAAGGGTAAACTTGTCTTATAGGAGTGATTAAAGTTGAAATGCTTCCTTCCATAACCTAACCAAAGGGCAATTTACAAGTATTGAGTCAGTTGGATTCATTCCCTCCAGGCAGGATCTTGGAGGAACTCTGCCTTTTAAAAACACTTTACGTACATGAGACACTCATGTATATGCTGATGGCAGAATGCACCCAACTCAGTAACGGAGAGCCAGGCAGATGAATCATAGAATAGTTAGGGTTGGAAAGGACCTTAAGATCATCTAGTTCCAACCCCCCTGCCATGAGCAGGGACACATC